ACGTGTGGGAAAAGTCCCCGGCCTCTTACTGAGGAGAGGGGGCGGTCCGCTGGAGGCGGAATACGGGAGCGGGACTTTAAGAAGGGGCGAGGTCTGTGAGGAGCGAGAGGGCCTGAGTGAGAAGGGGGTGAGGCTAAAGGAGCGAGGTTGGACAGGGGTGGGCCCGGAGCATCGAGGGTGGGGGCCTAAGAGGAATGCGGAACAATGAAACCGCGAGCATGAGGGGCGGGACCGGAGCCGGAGCCCTTATGGGTCTCGCGCAGTTCTGGGCTGACTGTAGAGTCCCTCCCCAGCCACTACATGGCAAGCATTCACTAGACGCTGCCAGGCCCTGCCGTGGAGGGACTCCAAGGCAGATGGGCAGAGCAGGTCCGGGCGCGCGCGCGGAGCAGAGCCCTGGGGTGCGGGGCAAAGAGGGGCGGGTGCCGAGCTCTCAAGGTGCTGCCTGGGCTTATCGGTCACCAGGCCTGCCCCAAGAGCTATCTGTCCCCGCAGCCTTTACCCGCCCTTCTCAGTGGCGCCTTGCTGAGGATTGTGAGTGCGGAGGGCCTGGTGAGGTCAGGCTCCACCCAGGAACAGAGAGCTTCTTGTGGAAAGAAGAACCTGGGCGGGCAGGCAAGCTCCCTCTGCACGTGGCACAGGACTGGTCCGGCCAAGGTGGCAGCAGAGGGCAGGAGTAGCTGGGCAGCAGTCAAGTGGGCATGTTCCCTCCCCTATATACCTTGGGCCTGGCTGGTCTTCCACACCTCAGGGCCCTGGCTCCCTGCACCCTGTTTGTCTTTGATTGAGATCCCACTTGTCTGGCCTGCTGCTTTCCCCTTCTGCATCAACCACATCATGACTTTCTTAACATTACTAATTAAGTAAAAAGAGTCCCCACTTCCTGAGGCCACTTGTATTTTTGTGAGCACTCAGTGCATGCAGGACTGTGTCAAGGCCAGAACTGAGAGTAGAGTGGCCCCAGTCACCATTTGGGTGAAAAGTTTGGAAACTATGATGTTCATCAAGCATTGTTTGTAATAGGAAAACTGGGAACATGTGTCTGTCTCTGAGGGTATGTGCAGTACAATGGCTGTAAACGCATGGTGTTTCTCTCTGGAGGTTGGGCATTGGAAGATGAACGTGTAAGTACCTGGAATGAACATGTAAAAATAAACAGGAGGCACTGTACCTTCTGGCTTGTGTTTAAAATGAAAAAGAATAGAGAAACACAAATAGGAAGGAAGGCATGCATCAAGATGTTAACTCTGGGGGAAGCCAGAGGTGAAGCTGATATTCTTTTTGTTTATTTGTGTTTCTAAATTTTTCTAGTGACTCTGGGTCGCTTACTTTGGTAAGGAGGTACTCCCTACCATCTAGGAAAGGACTAAGGTCTAACAGCCATCAAGAGTTTGAGGGTTGGAGTAGGCAGAGCAAGGCAGGCAGGTGTAGGGCTTGTCAGCAGCACCAGGGGGCAGCACCTGTTCATCTGCCTCCCCAGAACTAGGCCTCAGAAAGCTGTGTGCAGCCCAGACACCCACAGCCCATGGAGATACTGCCCCTCAACAACCTGTGCACTCAACTGCAAGCCTGGGACCTTCCCTTGGATGGCTTGGAGTGGACTCAGCCATGGTAATGTCAGCACTTCTACCACTTTGCCTTTTCATTTTTTTTCCCTTTAACCATGGACAGGATTGTCACAAATTTGGGGATGTGCTCCTTTGGCTTAGCCCTCCCACTTCAGAAACCATCCCAGAGGCAGTCTGTACATTGTTTATATCAAGTCTTTTTATTCTGATACCACAGAATTACCTTGTCACAATACAGGGGGAGGGACACTGAAATACCACGAGTTCTCACAGAGCACAGGAGGACGGCACACAATTCACAAGGTCATGTGGAGGACTCGGGTCATTGCACTTACAACTGTAAACTTGTTTGTTTGACTTTGTACAGCACTCTTCCCCCCTCAAATAAAGAAAGAGAGAAGGAAAGAAAGAAAGAGAAAGGGAGAAGGGATGGAAAGCAAAACAATACATGGAAACTAGAAGAAAAGGTGTTGGGTGGCTACCATTCTCCAGGGTACTGCACTTGGAGAGAAGGAGCTGATTCGATCCCAGAGGCTGAATGAGGCATTCACACACACACACACACACACACACTCACACATGTTCACATGCATACACACAATATCTCACGACTTTCATGGCTCTCCAGTGCCACCCCAATGCACATGGCAGCAGAGCTGCTGGCACCCAGGGAGACAGAGGTGCCAACTCTGCACACACACACACACACACACACTCACACATGTTCACATGCATACACACAATATCTCACGAGTTTCATGGCTCTCCAGTGCCACCCCAATGCACATGGCAGCAGAGCTGCTGGCACCCAGGGAGACAGAGGTGCCAACTCCGAGGAGTTTCAGTTCATTAGGTCTGTCCCTCTGACACTGTCGGAGTCCACAATGACAAGTATTTACAGCAGGGGCATGGGTGGGTAAGGGGCTGATGGGGCAGGACTGCACTATCATGGCATAGGGCCTGCATGGAAAACTCCCCACAGGCTCCAGAAGACAGGCCATAGTTGCTATCCTTTCATTGTGGGCCCTGAGACCACGTGCTCTGCTCAGGACTAAGAGGATGTTTTGGGGGTGCTGTCACTATGAAGTGAGTGTATTGGGCCCCAAAGAAGGCAGAGGAGGCAATGCCCTTGCCCATGATGCTGGGGAGGGGGTATGGAAAAGGCCTGGGCTGCATGCCAGTGATCCCTTGCCCATTTGGACATGTGCTTGTTGCTCTCCACTTCCCAAGGCACCAAATACTGGTCCCTCAGCCTCTGGCTACATTGCCCCAGAGTCACAGTTGTATCCTCACAAGGGCCAGGACAACCACGGCCCAGAGGCCTGCTTCAACCACCTTCACAGAGGGGCAATGATGTGTCCAATGGGTACAGTGGGGGATGGGGAGTGGCAGATACCAGAAATTTCAAACTCAGAGGACTTGGCCAAAAAGATTTGCTGAAAAGTCAATACTTTGGAGCCTAAGACTGGGCCTGCTGAAGACTGGCCTGCTGACATCTCTGCTTGTTCCCTGCTCCAAGTCCCATCCCCTGGCCTTTAGTGGAAAGGATTACTGCCTTGGTCTCCAATTATCCAGTGACTAGGCACATCCCCACACAGACCTGGTCCTGGGTGGCCAAAGGTACTAGATGATGACTTTCCTCAGCCCTTGCTTAGATGACATCATACAGACCAGGCCTGATCTCTGGGATGAAGCAGGTGTCCTGTGAGATGGGTGAGGCCAAATCCCAGGAAAGCCACTTCTGGAATATGGTCCTAGGTCCAGTACAGAGATTGACAACTTGTCCCATCCACAGCTGCTACAGTTGGGCCAGGATCCCTCTCTGAAGGGGGTGTAGTCCTTATAGAAAAGCACGAGAAATGTGGACCCCTAAGAAATGCGTGATGCAAACCAGAGCACTCTGGAGGAAGGTTAGGCCTCAAGGGGTTAGCCAGCTACTGCCTGCCACACCCCTAGCTCAGTTATGGAGAAGCTGATGAACAGTGGGATACATGGGCTTTAGAGAAGGGGGTGGGTTTGGAGGGTAGGTCGCAGGGACAGATGTAGGGAGGGCCACATGGGACCTTCTGTAACTTATGTTATTGAGGAACTTCCCAAGAAACTCAGCTCGAAGCGTTGTTTCTGTGAACAGTTCACCTGCTCTGGTTCTGGATGACATTGTCAGCTATTCTTACCACAGTGCCAAAGGCCCAGATTGTCCTGAGCACCCTTCGACCCCATGGCACCAGCCCAAGTCTCCTGGCTCACAGTCTTTTGAGCCTCCCAGTCACAGAAGAAAGGAATGGAGCAGGTGTAATCAGGAGCTGGGGTCCCTAGGGCACAGCCAGGTTCTGCTCTTGGCCTCTGCTCTCTGGCCATAGATGCAGCCCAGCAATGCCCTGCTGGGAAGGGGTGGCCAGATGCCTCTGGCTCAGGGCTGGGGTAGGAGAGGAAAACAGCATACAAATAGAAATCCTATAGCAAACCTTCAGAGCATTCACACACATACATCCTGTGTGGGCTTCTACCATTGTGTCTACTCCGGGGCCTCCTTTTTACGTGCTGTCTTGGACAAAGAAACCCGCAGGGTACATGGGGACTTGTACTGCCTGTCCCACAGCCTGGCATGCTCAGGCAACAATTCTGGAAGGTCCTCACTAGCTTGTGCAGAAGTCAGCTAGAAGTGCTTCTGAAGGAGAGGTTCTGAGGTAAAAAGAACTCCAAGCAAGAGGGTCAAGCATTTAAAATGGATGAAATCGTGCAAAGAGGCTGTGAGCTGTGCATGCTCCACTGCGGGACAGGCGGTGACTCACCTGGCAGCAGCGAGTCCTGCCACAGGTCAAACATGCCACAGACAGAATTTCACACACACGATGAGAGCAGGGGTGGGGTTGGAGGGTTGATATGAGAATATCTATCCAGTTTTTCAATTGCATGTTTGCAATTAACTCCTTATACATAACATGGAATTTATTAAATATTAACAGTTGTCTTTGAGGGTTTATATTTCATTGCATAGAACGTTAGAGATGAGACTTGTGACTGTGCCCAAGATGAAGGGAGGCCCCATGGTAGGGGCCTTGGGGAGGAATGCCGCCCAGTCCAGCAGGTGGATAGACGGTGCCATACTACTCCCCACAGGGCTCTGGGCCTTTCCCTTGGCTGGCAGAGCCCTGACCCCTCTGCTCTGAGCACACTCACTGGTGATGGCTTAAGAAGGACTGCAATTGCACAGTAAACAGAGGCGGGCTGAGGGACCTCCCTAGACCTCGCCCTGGGGTTGTGCTCTTGGTGGCCTGCTGCCCCCTATTGCTTCTAAGTCAATATTCTCCCTGTGCAAAGCAGGGGCAGAGCAGAGAGGAAACCAAACCGTCAGTCACAAGGTGGTGGTGGAGGGAAGAGGCAAGAGGGTGAGCAAAGAGAAGAGAGAAAGGGGGAGAAAGAGAAACAAAAGAAAAATGTTTATGAGGTATACGCGTAAATCAAACTGGAATGATTAAGGCTGTTCTTGAACTCAAAAGAAATTCCCAGGTGTATGGACGAGGAGCCGGCTGGTTGAGACAATGGTGGTGCCACTGGGATGCTCACAATGGCTGGGGGTGATGGCTTTGAGATGATGGCAGGCGTGCAAGCACTCTGCCACCCACGGGCTGGGAGAAGCCTCAGCTGGCACCCACACTGCTTTTCGGTGCTATGGCCTCTTATTTCAGCGATGAGACAGTGTTAGGTCCTAATGTTTGTAAAGTTCTCCCAACCCCACAATGGCCACATGGAGGTCTGCTCCCATGTCACCCAGAGGGCAGGGTGAGGGGGGCAGGGCCCTGTGGCCACAGAGGGATCTGGGCCAGCTGGAATGTGAAGGAAATGGAGCCCGGGGCCCCCAGCCTTCAGTCAAAGCCCCTCCCCAAGGCTGTGGAAAAACTTCTGGCATCTCGGAGGGAGAGCAGTGTGCTTCCAAACTCTGTGTATAACGCACCGGAAGCCTGGATGGCCAGGCCACAGGCAGGTGGCTGTGGGAGGAGTGGCAAGACAGCTGCGTGGCAGGGTTTCTGGAGAGGGCTCCTCCCTCCCAGTGCTGGCTATGCCTTGAAAGTGATGCCCTGAGGAGAGTGGGGTCTCTGGAAAGACAATCAAAGGTCCTCCCAAGCCAATGGTCCCACTTGTCCAGCAGATGCTTCACCCAGGCAGCTGCTGTTAGAAAACATCCTGTCCTCAACTGAGGCCTGCCTGCCACGTCCCACCTGGTATGAGTCTTTGGCCCAAGGGTTTGCCAAACTGTAGATGCTTGGAAGAGAAAAGGAGGGAGGGAGAAAGGAAAGAAGAAAAAAAGGATTTTGTCAAGAACTGTGGACAGTTACTTCCCACCCACACACTCCTCTCAGCCACCTGCCATGTGCCAAGAGCCTAAATCCTCCTCACCGTGGGATCCCATACCACTGAGGCATGGGCAGGTGGGTGCCTGGGCAGGTCACAGAGAGAGGGACAGGAAGAAAGAAGAATCAGGTCTGCTAGGAAGGGACTTTTTGCTTTGCTTAAGAGTGAGGGAAATGGGACTTTGTTTAAAATGGCAAGCCTCTCCTGGCTAATCTCTGAAATTGCCATAAAAAAACACTAGGAGATGGACACTCACAGTAGCATTGGCCACTTGGCCCAATCATTAGCCAAATGCTAGAACTTGAGGGAGATTCTTAAACTACAAAGTCAGTCGTCTTGATTGTTCACCCTCACTGTGTGGCAGGACCCAGATCAAAGCCATGTCTGTGTTGCCTTTCCCTCCTCAGTAATGATGTCCTGGCCCCAAACACAAGGTGGGTACTGCCCTGAACCTGGACCATGGGCTGTCCCTCCTTCCCTCCCCTCAGCACCACTTCTTATTTTACATCTGTTCTAGGCAACCACAAGAAAGCATCCAGCTGAGCAGGGAGAAGGCAGGAAGAATGCTGGGGACTGCACTGTAGCCACATTTATTCTACTCTAGTTAGAATAAATTCCAGGCTCATTACTTTGACCTACAGAGTCCCTCTGCTGGCTCCCACTCCCTTGGACTTTACCCCTGACCACTTCTCCCCTCCACTATAATTCTAGCTGTGCTGGTCTTTTGCCTGTCCCCAAAGCCCCCCAGTCTTATCCCAGCACTAAAACCTCTGTTAGTGCTGTCCCCTCACCTGAGCACCTCCCACAGCAGCCTTTCCTCTTACCTTACACACCTTCAGCTCTCTGACCACTCTCTCTAGAGAAGATCCCACTGTTCTCATAGCTCTGCTTCACTGGCTTCACACACTTGTCACTTCCAGAAATTATCTTTTTAATTTAGTTTTTATTTTTAAACTCATTTATTCTCTGTCTCCCTTAATGGACTGTCAGCTTTGGAGGGCAGAGACTTGATTTTGTTCCCTGCTGTATCCCCAGTGCCTGGTTAAGGCCTGGCACATACCTGGGGATTGACAAACATTTATTGAATAAATGGATGGAAGACTGGGCCTTTCCAAACCCCTCCCCCACATCCCACCCCACTCCCGCTCCTCCAGAGACAGGCAGCCCTTTAGGTACCACACCCAGATCTTTCCCTCCCACAAGCAGGCCTGGCTTGGACAAGGGCACCTGCTGGCCCCAGGGCTCCCTTGAAGTGACCTGCTTGCTGACTGTCAGTGCCTGCCATGGATACCACATACATGCCTGCCCACCATGAAAAGTGCCCAAACTTCCATATTCTTAACCCTACAGTGTCAAAGGAAGGGCAGAAGGAGGGCCCCAGGGCTATGAGATGGTGGGAGGTGGCCCCTGGCTATGCACAGAACAGTGCCAATAGACAGGCTACTCTCCCCACCATCCTGGATGGTGCACCTCCTCCTCTTCCCCCTGCAGGGGCAGGATCAAGGCCAGGGCCAGGGCAGGGTCCAGGAGGTGAAATCCTATCCTGCCTTGGCCTCTACAACCCAGACAGAGCCAGGGCTCCCATTCTGAGGCACTTGTAATCTCTCCCTGGGCTGACCTAGTCTGGGGCTGAGGCTGCCTGTCCGGTTACCTCCCTTTCCTCTGTGACCTTTCCCTGTCTCCCTCTCTACTCATTCTACTCTTCCATCTTGTGGGCCATATGCTCAGCCTGTGAAGCCAAGAGTGTCTTGACTTTATGCCCAGAGATGCTAAGCTCTGCAGGGTTTGGGAACTCCAGCCTCTTCCAACTGATTGGATCAAAGGCATCAACACCAGGCATCAGGGAAGGGGCGTTCCCCCACAGGAGCCACAGACTACCCTGTCCTCCAGGATGACTTTGGATTCAGTGCCTAGTGCACACACCTCAAATTGTGGGGCATAGTTGGCTTCATTGGGCTCTTCCTCAAGAGCACCCCCTGCCTCATCTGCTACCATCTCATCCAGCTCAGTGGCCCCTGCTTCCCAGGGGGCTGCTGGGCCCATCACAGCTGAAGGAAGCCCACCAGGCTCTTCCTAGTTCACACTTGTAGGAACTGGGTGGTTTTGGTCAGCCAGACTTTGACCCTTCACCCCCTTTTCTGACACATCACATCCTGGTCCTGACACTCACTGTTATACGCAGAGTCCAGAGCTGCACCCAGGCCTCTGACTCCAGAGATTTTTCCACAGCAATATCATCTCTCTTCATCTCTTCAAGAGCCTATGGAGCATTTACAAGTCAGGGTTGGGGAGGAGCTGCATCCCAGGGAGTCCTACCTACAACTTAATGCCAGCCCATAGCTGTGAGAACCCTGCAGCAGAATAGGAGATCGTGAGAAAGACAAGGGGAAGTTGGCCCTGGCTTCCCTATGCTGGTGACCGCTACAGAGTTGGCCCCATGCTGGGGGCTCTGTGCAGTTTCTCTCCTCTTCCTCCTCATCCTCCCACACTTGTAGGAGAGCACAGTGCAGCTCTGACCATACCACCCACTGACGACTAAACTCTTCCCAGAGGATCTCTTGGGACTTAGACCCTCCCCCACAAAGTGCCTCAGGCCTTTCCCAGGAGGGTCCAGGTACAGGCCTCTCATACTCACCCCGCTGGGCACGGTCACCAGAATGAAGAAAATTTTTTGCCAAAAGCAGAGACAGCTATGACATAGAAAGAAGAGAGAAGCATTAGAAAATTAGGCCAGACCCCTCCTAGGTGACTGAGGCTGGAATCATCTCACAGACCCAACTTTCACCAGAGTAGGGCCCTGGAGCAGTCACCCACCATGGATCTGGCAGTATGTACCTTCTGTCAGCTTGCCGGCTTGCTCTGCTGCCCCGCCAGGGAGGATCTTGGAGAGCACACTCTCCCCTTCGGCTCCTGGCTGGCTAGTAGGAGCCCCTGGGGTCCCTGCAGGCCTGGCTCCAGCCTTCATGCCTAGAGGGAGAGAAACCACCACCATAAGCCATGCTTGGCCTGTCTCTTCAGGGTCTGAGCGGGAGAGGAGCCATGAGGGGATCTGAACACAGGTGCCCTGTGAAGAGGGTGAGGAGAAGGCTAGGGAAATAAGGAGAGGAAGATAAGAGGAAAAGAAGGAGTGGGAGGAAGCAGAAAAAAAGGAGGTTGAGGAAGGTAAGGAAGGAGAAAGGGAGGAGAAGGCAGAGGAGGACGAGAAGGCAGAGGAGAGGTGGAAAAGGGAAGGAAGGAGAAAGTAAGACGCCTGTGCTGGCCCTGTGCTCACCAGTCCCTTCCAGGTTCTCTGCCCAGAGCTGCCTGGGCCTTAAGGCCCTGGTCCTGTTGACCCCATTGGCTCATTCCAACCCCAGGCTCATTTTCTGCTAGGGAGGTCTGCAGCCCACTGGGCACCTTTTCAGGGATTAGAGTGCATGCAGTGTAGGGGAGCTCAGGGTGCAGGTGGGTGTAGGGAGAACGACCTATAGCCAAGGGCACCAAAGTGTAGGCTCACCTGCAGGTCCAGGTCCTGGTGTTGGCTGGGCCTGAGGAGCCCTCCCCTGTTGGGGTGCTTTGGCTGTCCCTTTGGAGCCATTTGCCTGTTCTGCCCGTGGCTGCAACATAGAACCAATAGGTGAGATTCGACCCATGGACCCTGCCCATGCCCAGCCTGCAATCAAAGGGATGTCTGAGCTTCAGCTGTAGCACCCACCCTGGGCAGAACCCATGCCTGGGAACCCTACTTACCTGTCCTGCTGGCTGGGGGCCTGTGGCTGTCATGGGGCCTGGCTGAGGCTTCCCTACTGGCTGGCTGGCAACAGGGGCTGGGCCCCGGGCGGTTGGCTGGCTCTGCTGCTGCAGCCGAGCCTGCAACGGGGTCTGCTGGGGAGGCTGCGGCCCAAGGCCTTGTTGCTGCTGTTGCTGCTGCTGCTGCTGCTGCTGCTGCTGCTGCTGTTGTGTCTGTGGCTGGCGTGATGCTGCCCCTGAGGGCATCTGCCTGTGTAGTGGTGGCTGTGACTGCTGTGGCCCTGGAGCTGCCTGCCAACCTTGCAGCTGCGGCTGTGCCTGCGGTTCTGGTTTTGGATGCAGAGCAGCAGAACTGGAGTGGGCCTGCCGGGAGCCCTTCTTGCTGTCAGAGGCATGATGGTATGCTGATGGAACACGGGATGGCTGTGAGTATTCAGCAGAGTTGGGGTACCCAGGCTGACCCTTCTTCGGCATGGTTGGGGCAGGGCTGGGCTGAGAGTGGGGCCGGGCCTCATGGCGACCCAGGTCCCGAACGTGTGGTTTGGCAGCACGCCTTCCTGGCTCCTCACCAGTGTGGCGGCCTGAGTGCCGCCCGTGGTCACTGTGGTGCCGGTGTTCCTTGGCTGAGGCATGGCGGCCTGGGCCACCCTCATCGTGAGGCCATAGGCCTTCCTCGGGGGGCTCATCATAGTCGTGGTAACTGTGCCTGGCAGGGCCTCGCTTCTGGGAGGAGGAGGAGACTGTGTGGCCCCCATGGTGCCTGAACCGGTCAGAGCGGGCATCCCGGGGCTTATCAAACCAGTCCGTCTCCTCCTGGCCCAGGTGATATGCTTCAGAGACCAAAAACAGAACACCATCAAACCCCAGACTTGCCGCATGGAGAGGCCTAGCTGAAGCCATGCAAGGAAACCAGAGTGGGCACCACAGCCACAAGCAGATCACTAGGCCCCCACCCCACCCTCCCACAACCAGGGCGTGGGTGGAACAGGGAAGGACAGCCTGCAGCAGGGCCTACTGGATGAGGCACCAGGCCAGACCCTGCTGGGACATCTCGGGGCCCAGGGCCCCATGGGTGGACAGGTCCCCCAGGTGCTGAGCATCCGCAGAAATCACCCCAGGCTGCCATTACCTTCACTGTCGGAAACCACGCAGTGGGAATCATCCAGGACGTAGCCCTCCTCACGCTTATATGAGTGGGCCCGAGGTCCGTCTTTGACATGCTCCTGGACATCAGGCATTGAGTGGCTGGAGCAGAACTGTGGGCAGGCATCCCCAGGAGGGAGGGTCCCCCCAGCAGGGCGGGGCCGCCCCAAGGGGCTGACAGGGCTCTCCTCTTCAGAGCCCTGGCTCCGCATGGGGGGCCGTGCCCGGCTGTGGGCCATGCTCAAGGATGAGGGCTTGGGGCCTGCCTTTTGAAGTCGCTCCACAGCCTCCCGTTCCCGTTCATACCCCTTGCCTCGGCCACTGAGATCATGGCTGGACAGCTTCTCCCCACTGTATGCAGATGCCATCCGGGACCGGCTGCTCCCACCATACATGCGGTCATCCTCCTCTACTGCATCCCGGCTGGAGACCCCATAGTACCTCTGCTGCTCATACACGTTCTTCTTGAGCCCGTAGGTAATTTCATCCTGGAACCTCCTGCCCCGGGAGGCCAGGCTGCTGCTGACTGCAGGTGGGGGGCAGGAGGCCAGGTCCGACTCCACATCCTTGGCCTCTTCAATAGGTGAGAACTTGGAGATCTTTTGCTCCATGCCCGGCTTCCGGTGCTTGCTGCGCTTTGAGGAGATGGCAGCTGGGGCCAGGCTCTTGGAGGGATGCTTGGGCCCCACAGGCCCTGGACCATATTTCTCTGCTCGAGTCCCATGTCTGTAGTCATTGTCACTGTAGTAGTGGGCACTGGCTGGTCGGCCATTGCTCTCCATGCTCCGATGATGGCCAACCTTCCCACGGGGGTCATATGAGTCCTCCTCAGATTCCTCCTCTCCTCTGGCATAGCAGCAGGGCAGTGCAGGCCCCTCAAGGACACCTGGTTCTCCAGGCTCCTTCCCTGGGCGCCCACTGCTGCCTGGGCCCAAGGGCTCTAGCCGCTGGCTATCAGGGGCAGCAGAGGTGCTGTCCTTGGTCAGCTCACTGATGTCATCAATCATCACATAGTTCCGAGGAACGTTCTGCTCCAGACTAGTGTAGTGTGAGTCAGAGGGGTAGGTGGGGGCTGGGCTCTGGCTCACACTGCCACGGTCACTGGCCCGGGGCAGCTCAGGGGCCTTGCCCTGCTCATAGCTGCTGCTCACTGCTGGGACACTATAGATGGTTTCAGAGGGAGCTGAGGACATGGCCACAACAGGGCTGGTGATCACCTCATAGTTGGTAGGCACCTTTTGCTCCAAGTCGGCTAGTGATGTCTGGCGTGGCTTCTGGTGGGGGGCACGGCTGTCAGCTGGGACAGGAAAAAGGGTGCTCTGTGTGGTTGGCATGAGTGTTTGGGCTGCATACTGGCCTGTAGGATGGAAAGCCTGCTGGCCTTGCAAGCCAGGCTCAGCTGGGTAACTGGTGCCAGGAGGAAAGGTAGGTGCTGGGTATGTGCTGGGGCCAGGGTAGGTGGGTGCCTGATGGGCTGGGAATCCATTCTGAGTTGGCTCACCACTGCCTGCAGTGTACTGTGGGGCTGGAGGTGGGAACCGGGGCTGCTGGAAGGCAGTGGGGCCAGAGGGGGTGGGAGGAGCAGCGGCAGTGACAGGAAAGTCCACATACTGGCCGGCGGGAGTGGTGCAGCACTGGAGCCGCAGCTGATTGAGCTCACTGTCTGACAAGTAGTCACGATGCTCACCAAGACCTCGCAAGGGTGGGTAGTCACGTCCACCTCGGTCTTTGGCCAAAGACTCCTTGCGCTGTGTGATGCCCAGCTCCAGGTACTTGAGCTTGGCGTCAATCTCCTTCTCCTCCTCATCAAGCTCCGCCTGCTTCTTGCGCAGCTTGGTGGACTCATGCTCCACCAGCCGCAGGTCCCGGTCCAGCTCCCGGAGCAGGCTGGCCTTGGTAGCAGGGACAGCGGTGGGCCCCGCCAGCCCTCGCTGCAGCAGGCTGGCTGCATACAGCTGTGGGGGGGCCTGGCCAGCCAGGGGAAGGTGAGCCTCCTCTGGAGGGGGGCTGGGCAGTGTCCGCTTCACCTTGCGGACCAGGCCATTGGGTGGCAGCACCGACACCTGAGACAGAGGGAAGGGTGGGTAGCACTGAGACCCAAGGTGTGGGTGACTTAGCAGGGCATGGGGTGTAGGAACCCAGATCTGGGCTGGGGTGGGAACCGGACTCCATGCTGTTGATGCTCTGATTTACCAGGCAGCCTCTAGGCCTGCCATGCCCACCCACTGGCCTTTTCTTTGCCATAGAAGGAAGGCCTGTGATCATTTTCTAGTCCTTATGCTTCCCAGAGCTTTGGGCAGTGGGAGGGTAGGAAAGGGGCAGATTCCCTTCTGTACTGGTTTCCAGTACTAGCCTAGCACACAGTGGCTTTGAGAATCCCTGCACATCTCTAGTGGGCTTGCCACCCTCTGCCTCCCACCTAGGAGAGGAGAGTACAGGTCTGGCTCTGGGTTTGGGTCCCAGGAGCTGATGGAGGCTGAGGGTGGTAGAGGGCATGGACAGTAGGAGTAGAGTAGAGTGGGTCTTGTGCCCCACAGTCTCCCTAGAGAATCATGGGAAGGGGCACATGCTGATTGTATGTCAGTTGTTGTAGGCTTGGAGTCTTTTCTGCTTCCTGCCCTACTCCTCTCTAAAGTGACATGCTACTCAGGGTGCCTGCCTACCCTCCCCATCTTGTTGCCCTGCAACACTCTCTGACAAACCCTCTGGGCTCACTCTTGGCCCAGCCTCTATCTCCCTCCACATCCCTCTGTCAACCCACTGCTCTGTAGGGCCACCACTGCACCTCTAGGTCCTCTCCAGCCCTATCTCCAGCAGCATGGCTTCTGGTCAAGTTTCCCTGAAAATATTCTCTACGGGGCCTCCTCACCTGCCCTAAATGCTCTGCATTGCCTGAAGGTCCCCATTGCCAGACGGTTCACCCTGAATCCCCAAAATATACTGGGGACTGACATCTTGATTTTTACTTTTTACCTTGCCAAGTACAGTTGTCCTTCAGTATCTGCAGGGGATTGGTTCCAGTATCCTCTGCATATACCAAAATCCACAGATGCTGAAGTCCCTCAGTTGGCCCTATGGAACCCACAGATATGAAAAATTGGCCCTTCAAATCTGCAGGTTCCTCATCCTGTGAATACTGTATTTTTCATCCACGACTGGTTGAATCCACAGATGTGGAAACTGCAGATATGTAGGGCCGGCTATATTTGTTGAGAAAAATCTGCATATAAGTGGACCCATGGGTTCAAACCCATGTTGTTCAAGGGCCAACTGTAACTACATGAAAACCTCCCTACTTTCACCATATGTCATAAAACAAATGATAGTTTGCCCCAAACTCTCAGAATGAGGGTGAGTCTTTAATGGAATAAATTAAGCTTTTTAAACTCCTCACCCTGTTGTCTGTCTGTTCTTATTTTGCTACACACCATGACTACCCATCATGGCCTGGCCCCAAATGGCCAGCCCATGGGACCTCTGTGCCTGGAGCCAGGATCACCCTGCTTTTCTGATCTGCCCTCCCTGCCAGCCCAGACTCCTGGTCCCATCCCCACCCCTATCTGGTCTTCAAACACCAGGCTCTTCACAGACCAAGCTCAACACCTCCACAACTCCATCCCAAAGCCCCATTTTTCTCCCCTCTGCATCACACCCAGAAAACGAGCAAATACACCTCATGATGCTTTTGGCTCCTACCCCTTCTCCCAGGGTCTCTTCCTCAGCCCATCAGCCCACATTCTTCCCCGGAAGCTTTCGAAAATATCCATCTTGACCTGTCTCACTTGACTAAAACCTCCAGAGGCTCCCAGGGCCTTCAGAAAAAGCCCACTCTCCTCAGCCAGGCACCCAAATCCTTAGCATCAAGCCCTTGCGACCCCATCCTCACCGCAACCCACGGCCAGGAAACCTTCCACAGTTCCAGTACATTACTGGCAACCAAAGCCACAGGCAAAGGTAAGTTTGTGCTCCAGTAACCCCTATCTAGCCTCAGCCAGGCACCCAAATCCTTAGCATCAAGCCCTTGCGACCCCATCCTCACCGCAACCCATGGCCAGGAAACCTTCCACAGTTCCAGTACATTACTGGCAACCAAAGCCACAGGCAAAGGTAAGTTTGTGCTCCAGTAACCCCTATCTAGCGAGCAGACAGGCGTGCAAACAGATTTACTGAGGGCCAAGTGGGGCAGGGAACAACGAGGCAGAAAGCATGCTGCAGCCTGTTGGGCTGCAGGGCTTGGGCTCCTGTGTGACAATGGAAACCAGGCCAGGACTGGGAAATGGGGAACAGCCCATCCAGATCCAAGTGCGTGTTACTGACTTTCTCAGGAAATGCCCATAGAAGAGGTTTGGAGTGGGAGGGCCCAGACTGGAAGTGAGAGCTGATGGGGGAGGTGGTACGGGCTGTACTAGGTATGGGCAGTGAAGGGACAGTGTTAGGGAGAGCTGAAGTGTCTAGTGGGGTGTCTGGATGGATGGCTGTGGGGGCCCATGTGTGTCTATATTTGTCCAAGCTGTCCTTGCCAGGCTGCCAGCTCTATCAGAGGTACATTAAGGGTCCATTCCTCGATTCCTTCTCCTGGGCCTCTGGAGCCAGAGGTGACTCTATTCCCACCCCAGGAGAAGCCCCTCCCTGAAGGAGTCCCTCAGGCTAGACAGAGACCCCTGTCCCACCCTGTATAAGCCCCTGTGCCCATACCTGGCTACCCAGTCCCCCCTGGTGCTGGTAGAGGGAGAATCTCTCTTTGGCAGACTCCTCGGCGGTGGGGCTGAGGGGCTTAGGGTCAGACAAGGACCGCTGCAGGGTCTTCATGGGGCGAGGCAGCGTCTGCTGGCGGAGAGTGCTGTCAGCCGTGAAGTGCTTCTGGGGACTCACATGAGCCTTGTTCAGCCTCTCACTGGAAGCAAAGGAGGTGTCCAGGAGCCGATGTGGGGACAGGGGCGAGACTGGTGAGTAGAGGACCTGGGGAGACTTGGGAGGCTGGCGACTCACAAGCTGTGAGAGAGATTCCGGAGGCAGGTGGGCCTGGTACCCAATCTCCAAGGGATCTGGCTTCTTTTTCTCAAATCTGCTTAGGGGCCCTGGGGTGACAATCTGGATGCCAGGAAGGTAGGGGCTGATGGCAGTTGGTCCTACAAGCTGCGGCCCGGCCACACCCTGGGCCTGCCCATCTGGCTCCGTCTGGCAGGCCAGGCTCTCTCCGCGCCCAGTCTTTTCTGGCGCTGATATGTACCTGACAATCTCCACCTTGGGATCGGTGGCAGCTGTGATGTGGATGGCTGGAGAGACCCTGGGCAGCTGGTCAGGCTCCGTCTGCACAGAGCAGTCACTGATGGTCTGGATGCCCACGCTGCTCATGGCCCTTACAGCGGTGGTGGCAGTGGATGACGAAGCAGTGGCATCATGCTTGCTGTCAGAGCCCGAGTCTGAGTGGCGGGAAAGACGGGACCTGCGGCGGCGCACCGGCTGCTCCCACTCGGCATTGTCCTCATCGTCCGTCTGCACGCTGCAGTCAGCACTCCGCCGAGTTCTGCGCCTCCGGGTCAGGAGGTAGCGGCCCTCCCCATCCTCATCATCTGTCTGCACGCTGCTGTCTGCAATCCTCCTGACCACGCAGGGCTCAGGACCTGACTCTGGCTCACAGGCGTCCCGCAGGCGTGGCATGGAGTGCCGCTTCTTGATACCACTGCGGCCTGCCTCCCACTGCTCCTCAGTCTGCAGTGACATGTCTGAGGCTGAGCTGGGGAGACCCCGGTGCAGGATGGGCTCACGAGGCTGCCCAGGCCCCTCATTCCCTGCCACAGCAATGAAGGCTGTGTGGGTCAGGGGTGGCCAATACTGGCCGTTCTGGGCCAGTTCGGTGGCAGCTAGGGCAGGCCCTCGGCCAGGTGCCTCACAGACTGCAGGGAAAGGAGTCTTCTGCCGCTGCTTCTGCTCTTCTAGCTGCTGCTGCAGCTGCTGCTGCAGCTGCTGTATCTGCTCCAGCTGCAGCCGCTGCTGCGCTAGCTGCTCCCGCTGCAGTGCAAACTGAGCCTGGCGTTCCTCTTGCTGCTGCTGCAGCACATGATGCTTGATCGTCTGCAGCTCCTGCAGCTCCCGCTGCACCAGCAGCTGCTCTTCCTCACGATGCCGCTGCAGCTCCACCCGCTCCCGCTCTAGCTCCTCTTGCAACCGCAGTTGTCGCAGCTTCTCCAGCTCCACCCGCTCTCGCTCCAGCTGTAGCAGCTGCTCCTGCTGCTTCCGCTGCCTCTCCTCCTGTGACACTTCCTCCTTCTCAAGTCCTGGCCGGCTGAGGGCCCCACTGGCACCCCCAGGAGAAGCATCTCCTGATGGCTTCTGGCCTGCTAGTGGGGCAGGGGCTGGGGCTGCTGCAGCTTCCTTGATGGTAGCAGGGGTGGTTGTAGAAAGAGCTTCCTCCCGTGCAGTCCCTGTTGGCAGCTCTGGCCTTAATTGGCCCCCAGATCCGGGGGCCTTAGCGGCAGCAGGTTTCCCCAAGTAGACAGGACCCTCAGCTGGTGGAATGCTGGAAGCAGTGGGGAATCTACTTGGTGCAGGATATCGGTACAGCCCAGTGGGCCCAAGAGGTACCCGGGGGGCAATCATGGGCATGCGCGTCAGGCTGGTGAGTGGCACGGCTGTGACTCCACCAGATGCATAAGGCCTGTACATGCCACCACGAACCATGGGCCGCAGTACTGAGGTGGGCTGGGTGGTGATGGGCAGTGTTGCAGCAATTGGGGTGTTGATAGTCGAGTAGATCATGCCATCAGCTGCACGCACAGTGGCTGTGGATGGCAGCAGCTGTCTAACTGCCATTCCCTGGCCTGCTGCAGGCCCAAACTGGGCCAGGTTCCCAGGACTCGGGTGGCCCTCTGGAAAGGTGGGGTTAGCAAGGAGGCCAGGTCTGAGGGGAGCCAGACCCTGTGCACCACTGAGCCCAGGCCCATGCTGGGGCTGGTACTGCACAAGGTCAGGGCCACCACCACTGCTGCCATGCCGCCCGCCATACTGGTCCATGGAGTTGAGGGCAGCGCACATGCGGCTGATCTCCCGGGCTGTGGTGGCACTGTACTGGGCCAGGCTGGCCTCCTGGAAGCCAACTGTGTCTCCCCGTGAGCCATACCTGTGGTCTGAGTAGATGTTTGACACTGAGCTATAGCGCCGCATGGGAAGTGGGTGAGTCAAAAGGTCTGTGGGATGACGCAGGTCCGTGAATGAACCATACTGCAAGCCCTGCCCTAGGTAGCGTCCATCTGCAAAGCCCAGGCTGTAGGAGTGCTTCAGTGAGCTGAGGTCCACAGCGGAGTCTCGTCCAGGGCCCTGGAAGAGCTGCCCAATCCTGTGGGCATGGTAATTGAGGCCAGCCTCAGCCAAATTGGTGTCAGACATGGAGGAGTACAGCCTGCCAGGGAGGACCTGAGGGTAGGGCCTCTGCTCCTCGTGGGTCCCAGGCCCCACAACCCTCTGTGCCTGGTAGGTGGGGGGCTCGGGAGGCTCAGGTTCCCGGGTAGTGTAGAAGGGGCTGCTGCTTTGGCCAGGTATGGCAGCATCTGCCACGCTCTTCTCAGGTGCACTGGGGGCAGGGTGGAAGGTGCCAGTGCAGCTACTGCCAAAGGGGAACTTGTAGACCATGTCGCAGCATGCCACCTGGCTCTCAGGCCTCATCCCAGTGAGGTCCAGGGCACCCGCTGGCTCCTCTGGGAGCAGTGTGGTCACAGTACCTGCTGTGCCCTCTCCCATCTGCACCACCACTGTGTGTGGCTTCCTGGCACCTGGCAGAGCAGCATGTGACTGCAGCTCTGCAGGGGTGGCCCTATGGGGCTCGGCACCAGGCTCTGGCACTGGGCCTGACTTGAGGCCAACGCTCTGGGCAGTGCCTATTTGAGTGATCAAAATGTCCCTTCTGGCCAGAGGTGCTACCTGGTTGGGTAGGTTATACCTGGCAAGCTTGGTCTCCCTGGGCCTTCCCCGGGGCCCACCTCGGTATGGGGCTGTCTGGACAGCCTGCTCTACCTGCTTGACCTGGGCCAAGCACACAGGGCTACCCGTGCCCTGACCAAAGTCGATCCGGCTCTGGAAGGGGTCTCCATAGACCACAGGCTGCTTTTGCTGAGCCATGAGCACAGATGAGGCCACGGTGATGCTCACAGTAGTGGAAACACCAAGGAAGGCATGAGTCTGCTCCTGAGCATTGAGGTTGATAACCAAGGGCTGCACAGCAGTTGACTGCCGCCCTGGGATTGGATCCAGGGTAAGGCCATACTTCCTCGCTTCCACAGCAAGAGAGGTCAGGTCCATGCCCTGGTCAGTGAGAATGATGGGTGTGGGTTTGATGGCCATGCGAAGGTCTACTACTGCACTGCCAGGGGGCTTGGGGCCTGGCTCAACTCTAGAAGTTCCAGGGACAGAGGAGATACGGCACAGGGAGATGTTCTCTGCAGGAAGGGCACCCCAGCCATATAGGGCCAGGGGCCCATCTGCACCAGCACTGGGCACCCGTGGGAACACAGGTGGTCCAGGTGGTGCTGGGGGCAGCTGAGACACACTCGGAGGTGTTGTCTGGCTGTAGCTGTGGGTGGTGGCCTGGGTGTCAGTAGGTGAGCACACTGGGGAGGTGGAGGCACTGGCATGTACCATCCTGGTCTGGCTAGAGGCATCTGATGCCAGCGTGATGACCATAAAGGGAGCCTCCTGAGAGGACTGCTGCCACACCAGGCGAGGTGTGCTGGGTCGGTGTGGTGTTTGTGTGCCCTGGGCTACCATGGGTGTTGGAGGGGGGACACCAGGGCTCCGTGGCATGTCTGAGGCAGGGGTTGGGCTTGGCGTCTGTGTAGAGAACTCTGCTGTAGCCCTTGGACCCAGCTTGCCAGGGTAGAATGTGGGACTCTCTGAGGGGGAAGATGGGGAGAGAGGTGGGCTGGAGCTTGTAAAGTAGGAATATCCCCGGGAAGGCTGGGGAGTGCCACCCTCGCCGTCACTCCCACTCAGGGCCTTCTCTCTGGCAGTCCGTCCACCTGTAGCAGGGCCACTGGGGGCTTGGGGTAGCTCCTCAGTTTGGGACCCATAGTTTGCAGTGGTTGGGCTCTGTCCATATCTGTGGCCTGTGGAAGATGGTGAAGGACTGCGCTCAGAGCCCGCTGGGGAGGTTGGAGTCACATATCCTCGTGGCAGGCCAGCCGGACAAGGAGCCACAGCTGTGGTGGCTAAGGTCCCAGGGCCTTGGGAGAAAGACATGCCTACCTCCTTGGAGGCTGAACTGGGGGAGGCAGGAGAGCTGTGCAGCTTGAGGTGGTCCTGAGGCTCCTTTGCAAAATGCTGAGTGACACGGACATCAGGAATAACTCGGCTCCCACTGCTGTCCGAGGTGGTGGAGGTGGAGAAGGACACAGGGGCAGCCAGCTGGGTGGGACTGGTACCAGGGGTAAGTGGACCACCATTTTGCTTCATTGGGTCCATGTACGCACTCTCGGCATCCAGAAACTGCTTCTCCTTCTTCTTGTCCTCAGCAAAGGCCAGGTCCCGTGAGGAGGCCTGCCGCATGCGGACTATGCTCTGTGAAGTCTGAAGGATCTCCTCGTACACGGCTGCTCCCTGGCTGGCCGCTGTGCCCTCTGAGACAGGCTGAGCAGCCCTGCCATAGGCACGGTCTGGGGTGTCTTGGTATTCAAAGGAGCCCTGGGCCCGGGGGACAGTGGGCTGAGAGGGGCCACCATGGGGCCCCTGGGCTCCTGCCACCCGGCCCTGTTGCCGCTGGAGCAGCTCAGCCTTTCTCATCATCTCTTCGTAGGCCTCCTCGGCGCTCTTGAGGGGTCGCCCAGAACTGGGAGCGGTGGCGCTGCCCGAGGGTGTCTCGGTTGGTGAGTAGAGGGACATGAAGGTGGGCAGATTGTACTCACTGCCTGACTTGTAGAGCTGGGCGGGGCCACCATCCTGGGCCTCAGCCTCTGAGTCAAGGGAGGGTGAGGGAGAGTACTCAGAGCAGGAGGAGCGGTGTAACTCTTCCATCTCAGCTGCCTGCCTCAGCTCCTCTGTAGGGGAGGCGTCCTCAATGGGCGACAGGTTACTGGGTGGTGTCTTGGAGCGCTCGCGCCTCCGCTGGGCCCGCAGTTCTTCCTTGTCACGCCGGGTCTTGCGGGCAGTGCTGCGGATGCGTTGCTGCTCTACCTCCCGCATCTTCTCCTGCTCGCGCAGCAGCTCCTCCTCCTCCCGCAGCTCCTCCTCCTCCGAGGAGTCCTCGATGGTGGGCAGCAGGGGCCCATGCGAGCGGTGCCGGGCCTTGCGCTGCTGTTTCACTTCCTCCAGCCGCTGCCGGCGGCTGGGACTGCTGTCACTGTCCTCCTCTAGCGATGACAGGGAGGTGGGCGAGGTACCCGAGGTGTAGCTGGGCGTGGAGGCAGGCAGGGTAGAGGAGTGCTCCCCACGGGAGCGGTCCTCAGGCGAGCCTGTCAGGCTCTCCATCTCCAGCTCCGGCTCCCGATCCAGGCTGGGGTCAGGGTCTTGGCCCAGGTCTAGCTCGTGGCTGTAGCTGCCTGTGCTGTTGAGCTCAATGGTCTTGAATCGGCGGAGCCCACCCTGCAGGGCCCCACTGCCATCAGTGGCCTCTGCTGGGCCTCCCTCAGACAGCAGCTCCTCATAGCCTGTGGTGGCATTGTGGGGCAGGCGCCTCTTAGGCAGTGTTCCTGGGTCTTGGCTAGGCTCAGACCTGGGCCTGGAGCCACCCTTTTGGATGCCATGTTTGGCCAGGCCATGCCCGGAGGTGGCAGTGTCATCCTCCTCCAGGTTGTCTTCCTCAGCACTCATCTCTAGGATCTGCCGTCGCATGAACTCCTCATCAGTCAGTTCTACTACCCGGACTGGGGGTTGGGGTGGAAGAGGGGACAGGCCTCCCTCACTGCTGTCCTCCACATAGTCATGCCTCAGCTGGCTGCCAAAATCATCTGAGGACTCAGCTGTGTCCCGCTGGTCCCTCTGGCGCCCCCACTCGAGAGAGTCTTCCTCTTCCTCTAGGATATCCTCCAGCTCCTCATCAGAGTCAAAGGCCTCAGGCACGATGGACAAGGAGTGGGGCCGCCGCTTCTGCTCCTCACCAGTGCTGCTGCAGGGTGGCTTGCTCTGCTCCCCACTGGGGGCCAGGCCCTGGGCCTCCAGCAAAGGCTGCATGCTGCTCCCCACCTTGTGGAGCTCTGAGGGGCTGGGTGGGCGTGGCCCCATCACCCCTGCACTGTCCAGCTGCTCCACCTCCTGTTGCACAATGCCTGTGATCTCACTCTGGGAGCTGGAGATGCCATCAGAGGAATAGCCTGTGTCGCTGAGGCTCTGTGGGCTCCGGGACAGGTCCTGAGAGTAAGGCTTGCCCACCAGTTCCTGCAGCAGGGTAAGAAGCAGACACTGACTCCCATGGCAGACAGCTCGTAGTGGGAGCCCAGCCTGCCCTGTCAAACCCAGGGCCCTGAAAATGGGTCCCTCCACCTCCCATGGGTTTAGGGCCTACCACCCACCCATGTCTCTGGCCTTGAATAACTTGTGGGTTCCATGACAAGCCCCAAACAGCCCAAGGTCTTCAAAGAGAAACTTCACTAGATCAAAGGGGATCAAAACCCAGCAAAGCATCCAACAAGGTGCCAGACACAGGATCAGTCTCAAACTCACAGGCTCCAGGCTGCCAGAGCCTCATGTAGGCTTTCTCTCTTCCTTTGGGGCATTCTTGCCCTCCTTTGTGGCCCCAAGGGGGCTGTCTTAGGCCTACGTCCCAGCCCCGCAGGGAGGCAAGCCCTTACCTAGACTGTCTAATCTGAAAGCTAGTGTCCCTGGGAAGTGATTGGGACTGACCTCCACCTCACCACCCTTGGGGGCTTCTGGAACAGCCTTGACGACAGGGGTGGCAGGTTCAGTCCTCCTCATCCCACTCTTTACTTTAGGAATCCCAGGAGGCAGGGTAGTCCCTGGAGGTGGCTTCGGCACCGGCTCAGCTTTAGCAGGGACTCCTGTCTTCTTTTCCTGGGTACTGCTTGGGGTCCTGCTGGGTTCGGAAGCCCTAAGGGGCTTGGCCTGGGGGCTGGCCTTGGTGGGCAAGGGGCTGGCTTTGGTGTGTTGGGAGCTGGCCTTGGCAGGTGGGACGCCGGATGGCTGACCCAGTCCCTGTGGTCCTTTCTGCTTCAGAGGGGCTGTTCCAGCTGCACGGTGAGGGGCCCCTGCAGGAGGCTGCTGTGAGGTGGGCAGCAGCAGAGGGCTGGGCTCTCCCAGGCTGCCCTCCAACAGCCGCTTAGTTTGGCAGTTCAGACAAAGCCACTCTGTTTTCTGCAAGGAAATGGTGGGGGAGGGTGATGAAAATCACAAAGACACAGAAGCATTCAAATAATATTTACATGACTATTTCTGTAACCTTAAGGGAAGAGAAAGTCTTTCAGAGCATGACAATACCAAAGGCATAAGGAGAAAAAGACCAACAGATTTCTTATTGCCAAATAACAAACCTCCCCATCCTTAATATTAGCCTATACAAAGTCAAAATGCAAATGACAAACCAAAAAGAAGGGTCCCGTCCTTAACCTACACAGAACATTTCAACTGGCCAGAAAAGGAGGAGAACTGTAGGGGAGGGGAGGCCACAAGCAGCACATGGGTCTGGTCCCAAGCACATGGAGAAGGTGGGGTCCCAACCTCAGGAAGCGAATAGTCCCCTGTGGGCTGGTGTGGAGTCCAGAGTCAAGAGCCCCTGCTGAACAGAAATGGCTCCTTTTTGGAAGGATTTAAGGCCTTGTTTTGGCCCACATAGGTGGTGGGGATTGAGGGTTCCAGTGCAGCCCAGAGCAGGGCCCCACTGACACCTGTTCCTGCTCTCATTCTGTGGGTGCAGAAGCTTGGCATTCCCCACTTCCTGCTGCTGCTCATTCTGGGTGCCTAGGCACTCAGACTCCCACCAGCAGCTCTAGGCTTGCCACTAGGATGGGCCATTTTGAGAATCACAGGGTCACAGAGCCGGAGACAGAGAAAGGAGGTGGCCCTTGGCCTTGGGCCCTTGGCAGCCCTGGGTGAGCCAACAGTCTCAGCATCCTCACCTCACACACTGTCTCTGGGCCCACGTCAGACCCTAGATTACCTGGAATAGCCTTGGGAGCCTGGTACTCCCAGGGTGCCTGCCGTCAGCCTGGTATCCTCAGGCTACCATGACAGATACCATGTCATGGTTCTAGCCTGGTTTGCTGCCCACAGAGCTACACTCCACATCTCTACTCTGGGCCTCAGCAGAGGCCTGGTGGGCAGGTGGCAGAGCCTTGCTGTGTGTTGAAGGATAAACCTTCTCCACAGGCTTCTTACCCAGGGTCTTGAACTGCTTCCCTGAGATTGGAGCTGTTGTTCTTCCCTAAGGCCCAACCCTAGTCACAGGTCCCAGGTAGAGGGATGGGGCAGTGGGGCCCAGCTGTGGAGATGGACACTTTAGAAGCCCTACATGTATTCACTCTGGCCCAGCCCTGGCACTACTTCTGATTCCTTTGGACCTTATTTGATGCTCTATGTGTCCACCACACAAATCCCTATGAGGCAACAGCGCTGGCCTCTGGCTAGGCCTTGGCTTAATTGGCCTGACAGAGTTTACCCCTAGAGATGCCTGGGGAGAGAGGTGGACAGGTTGAGACCAAGCCCTGTGATGGACAGGGCATGGGAAAGCACAGAGCCTGATCCAGAAATCCCAACACACATGCCCCCAGCATCATCAAGGGACCCAATGGAAATCCCCCTATGTCTAAGTCCCCAGCTCCAGCTGCCTGCACAGGAGTGGGGTTAGGGCATCCCTGGTCCCTGAGTGGGTGATTCCTGTAGCAGGTCTGAGGAATTACAGAGAGGAGTGTGAGATGGCCAAAAGACCCTGGAAAGATGGAGGATTGTAGGCAGAGGCCAAGAGAGAGTTCTGGAAATGAACAAACAACCCTTTCCCCAGCCATAGGTGATCCCCAGCGTGGTGGGGTTAGGATCTGGACCCAGACAGGGGGCTAGCTAAAGGCAATGCTGCCCTGACTCTGAGTGGGTGATTCCTGTAGCAGGTCTGAGGAATTACAGAGAGGAGTGTGAGATGGCCAAAGGACCCTGGAAAGATGGAGGATTGTAGGCAGAGGCCAAGAGAGAGTTCTGGAAATGAACAAACAACCCTTTCCCCAGCCATAGGATCAGCGTGGTGGGGTTAGGATCTGGACCCAGACAGGGGGCTAGCTAAAGGCAATGCTGCCCTGACCCCACCTTGGGTCTCTGAACACATCAGTCCCAGGTTAGGCCTCTTGAAGTTGGGTCATCTGCCCTGGCCCACCTTGGTAGCTTGGCAAACCCTTGACCCCACCTCTGGCCTGCAGACCCCACCCAGAAGCAACAGTCTAAATGAAGCAGGGCACCTTGGAAGGGTGGTGTGGATGAAGGAGACAGATTCAGTGTCAAGTGCCCAAAGCCAGCCCCTGCAAAGCCTTGCTTACCTGAACCAAGAGGCCTAGCCCTCAGCAAAACATGTCACCTGTAGTTACATGCTCCCTAGGGCTTTGTTCCTTCATGTACTTATTCATGAAGGCAGCCAGGTTGCAGAAGGAACCTCCTGATTGACCCTCTTGCTCCTGGCTGTGCTATAGCAGGCAGCAAGGAAGGGAAGGCAGACAGGAGGAGGCTTGGGAAGTAAGAGCTAAAAATAAACACTTGACCTGGCTGCTGGAGGCCCTTCCTAGGCCTCTGGGGTTGGGGTAGAAGGATACAGGGCATTGGGGCTGGTAGGGGTGGAGACAGGGGAGATCTGGCCCAGGCCCACATCTTCTGGGGAATGGGAAAGGGGTGGAAGGTAGGCCATGTAGAATT